CATTGCGATGGGAACCGCTCCCGCGACAACGTCCGAGGCAAAAATGGCCAGGGGGATTTGCATCGCGCCCTCTTCAGAGTTACCCTTCGGGTCCGCGCCGGTTCTCTGGGCGGTGCATAGCCAATGCCTAAGGTCTGATGCGTCAGGAGCCCTGAGGTCCTGGACGAGCTGACGCAGCAGGTCGCTGACGGCTGGGGGCGAGGGTTTCCTGGTCACCGGGCGGGTCGAAGCCGAGGGCGACTTGAAGGCTGCTGCGCGAGAGCTGCCTCTGGCTGCTGGAGACCGGCTGGATCGACGCGGAGTTGCTGAGGGCGGTTGTAGGCGCCTGGCGGAGGGAGCTGACGCCCGCCCCCCGCGCGATCTTCAACGTGCGTGATCGGCAAGCACGCCAGCCTGGTCATCATCTGGCGGCCGTCGGCCAGACGCGAGCTGAAGGCCATGGCGCACCTGGTGCTGTCGATGGAGCGCGCGCTGGATGCGCCCGCGGCGCCGCCGGCGTTCTCGCCCGACGCCGAGGGCACGAACGAGGGCGACTTCGGCGGCTGCAGGGTCGTCTGCACCGCCGTGGACCTGGACGCGCGCGAGGAGCTGGCGGCTGCAGGCGCGCGGCCGGACCACGCCGTCGCCAGACTGGGCGGCGGGGTCGGCCACCTCCACGGGGCCAACAAGGAGAGAGCGAATCGCATCGCGGTCTCCCGGGCCCCGAGGCGCCCCCTCGAGAAGCCCGCTTGCGACTGGGCAGAGCTGGGGTCGGGGCGATGGCATCGCCCGGGCCGCAGCACGCTGGGCGAGGGCAGGGCAGCGCTGAAGTTGCTCGCCGCGCTCAGTCGCGCCCCTGGGGCGCATGGCTATCTGGTCGCCAACGTGGAGGACAACGGGGGCCCCTCAGTGGCCATGGCCAATTCAAAGGGCGCTCGTCGGCAGCAAGACACGACCTTCCTCTTCGGCGACGAGCTGCAATCTGTCTGGCTACAGGTGCCGCGTTCGCGCTGCCCCGGGTTGATACCAAGCGCCCGGCATCAGGTTGGCTGTCGCGCCATAAATGAAGCGGCGCGGGCCGCGGCGCTTGGGCCATCACCAAGCTGCGCGGGCCAAGCCGCGGACGATCGAGACGTCGTGCAGGCGGGAAGCCCGGAGCATCGCTGCGCGGGCCATCGCCGACCACCATGGCCCCGTCGGTCTGGACCAGTGAAGCGACGCGCCAGTGGAGTACAAGAATGCATGGGAGTCCTCGCCCTCGACGTCCAAGCTTCTAACTTCCTGGCGGCGGTGGAATTGTTTTCCCCATCGAATGTCAGGCGAGCAGAAGTGCGCGCACGCTGTTCTACGAGGCTGGGAGAAGTCACGAGTGACCAAGCACGCCGGGCCACCGGGAAAGGCGCCAGGCAAGCTGCTGAGCATCTACCTGGCATCGGCAGGGCGGGTGGGGCTCAGCCTAGGCTTGGTTCTGCAGTGCGTTCGAGGTGCTCGGCCTGCGCTTTCAACGCATTTCTTTCCCTCATCATCGTGCTATCGACGGGGTGTGTGATTCAGTGGCCCTGGCTCTGGGGGCGCGTTTCGTCACGGATGCGCAGCGGCCTCGGGCGGCCGCGCCCCCAGGGCGCCACGCCGATATCATCGAGCATTTTGGAGTTGTGCGCAGCAGACCAATGCCGCACTTTGCTCGAGACAGCGGAAGCAGCGCTGGGCCTCGCAGCGGGCTGGGGCCCGCGCAGCCCGAGCGCCGGCTAGGCGACCGACTCCCGCGCCGAGGGCGCCCCGTTCGCCGAGATCCGCGAGGCCGGCCGCTAGGCGAGCGACTCCAGCCTCAGGCTCTACCTCGACGCACAGTCGGCCAACGCGGCGCTGACGGACCTGCTCGCAGCGAGGCGCGAGGAGCAGTTGCACTGGGCGGCGGGCGGCTGGGCGCAGCGCGCGCGACCCGATCTCCCGCGAGCCCCGCGCGGCTACGCATGGCGCCGCAGGTGGGCAGCACGTTGGTCGGCGGCGTCTACACGCCGCCCGCCTCCGCGAAGAGCTCGACGCCACGTTCGGCGAACTCCCGCGCGTCGTCGCCCGCCCCCAAGGCGCCAAAGTCACCGGACGCTAAGGCGACCTCGCCGGCCTCGACGACGCCGGCGGGCTTGAGGCCGCCGTCGCCCTGGTCCGCGGCGGGCGCGCCTTTCGCCGGCGCGGCGGCGCCTTCGCCGCGGAACGCGCCGCCAAGCGGGGGGCTGAACCCGTTCGCGGCCAGCGCAGAGGATGCGGCGGCGCCGCCGGCGCCCGCGCCGCAGCCGCCTGCGCCGAAGAGGCCCCATCCTTCGCCGTCGCGGAAGGGCTTGGCTGGTCTGTTCAGCATGGGCCGCGCCTGGTGGCTGTCGCCGGGAACAGTGCTCCTGCTGGCGCTGTGGATCAGCTCGCCGAGTTTCTCGCCCACGCTGGCCAAGGGCGTCGGCGCCGTCATCGGCCTCTCCAAGGACATCGCCGATGCTGGGGGCGTCTTCACTCGGGCCGCCTCCAGCGCGACGGTGCTGGTGACGGATGTCGTCGCGGCGGTGGGCCGCGGCTCCTTGTCGGCCCTGGAGGAGTCCCGGGATGGCGTCGACCTCCTCAACGCTACAGTGAATGCGTCAGGGGCCGCTATATCATGCTGCACGGCTTCTCCGATTCTGCCCAGCCAGGCCTCCGCGATGTCAGATGCTTTCCTCCAGCTTCCTGCGGGGCGGGCCGCCGAGATCTAGACGGCATTTGATCAGGTCAGCCCCGCTTTGCCTACCATCGCGAAGTCAGATCAGCAGTTCGGGGCGAGTCACCAAGTCTTTGAGTACGAGGTCACGCTTCTTACGTCGTTTGGTCGGCAATGCACTGTGCGCCAGTATGGGCGAATCCGATCCGGGAAGGGTTCGGAGCCGACGCGAGCGCGCAGCTGGAACGCATTGCAGAACGAGTTACGTATTGCACAGAAGCGCCAGTTGACCTGGAACCTAGACTGGCTGCGCGCGCCCTTCCACACATCAGACGTTCCTCCTGGAGTTTGGCCGCCCTTCCGGTTTAGAGACTGGATGCAAGTGAAATCTTCGCTTCAGTTCGTGCGCTTGGCGGGCGGAGATAGGCCGTGGTGGACAATTCTTTTGACATGCAGAGATGGAGACAGTTGATCACGAGCGGCGTTGGGATACCAGCGGAGTGTCCAAAGGGTGCCATCACAGCCCGAAGGGAACTCTGCTGGGACCAGAGTATGCATATATTTCCAGTTCTTTGCGCTGCGCTGGCCTCTCGCTCGCGTGCCAGATGCTGCAGTCAAGTTGCGATTCGTGTGGTCACGCATCCTGCTGCTGAAAGGTTCCACCTCTCGATCGTCTCCCTGTCCATCCTGCTTGCGACAGCGTCAATCAACGGGCTTCGCCCTTTCGCGTGTCTGGCCGTCGTGGGTGGATGGGCTGGAACAGATACCGGATCAGCTTAACACGCTTGAGCCACACTATTGGAGAATGAGGGTATTGAATGTCCCTTAGTGCGATGTGAGAGCAGATCTCCCATCGTATTTTTTTCTTGCCTCCCCCCGTTTGCACTAATGATCCAGCCTTTCGGTAGGTTCGTGGGGTGTCCGGTTGTGCATTATTACCAACCCTGGGCGTTGATAAGCCACTCGGGGACCCCTGCTGGGACCAGAGTATGCATACGTGTTCAGTTATTTGTGCTGTGCTGGTCTCTCGCTCGTGGGCCAGATGCGGCAGCCAATGTACGATTCGTGTGGTCACGCATCTTGCTGCTGAAAGGTTCCACCTCTCGATCGTCTCCCTGTCCATCCTGCTTCCGACGGCGTCAATCAACGGGCTTCGCTCTTTCGCATGTTTGGCCGTCGTGGGTGGGTGGGCGGGAACCGATACCGGATCAGCTTAACACGTTTGAGCCACATTATGATGATCATGATGATGATTGTGATCATGATGACGATGACGATGATGGTGATGGTGATGCTGGGGATGGTCATTGCTATGGTGGTGTGATGATGCTGCTGATGATCATGATGATGGTGGTTGTGGTGAAGGCGGCGATGGTGGTGATTGTGATGACGTCGACGAGGATGATAGTGACGTTGACGACGTTGATGACGACGCCGACGATGATGATGATGATGATTATGTTGATGATGATGCTGATGATGATGATGGTTATGATGGTGGTTGCCATGGTGAGGCTGGTGCCGATGACGATGTTGATGATGTCTCTGATAATGTTGCTGATAATGCTTCTGATGCTGGTACTGGTGACGATCATGACGACGATGACGCGGACGATGACGATGATGACGAGGACGGCGATGAGTATGATGCTGTTGCTGATGATGATAATGATGATGATGATGATGATGATGATGATGTAGTGACGACGATGATGATGGCGGTGGTGGTGATGATGTTGTTGATGATGATGGTACTGATGTGTTTCATGTTTGGTGATTGGGGAGTGTGGCTTGAGGATTGAGGATTGAAAGTGGGGATGATGATCCGCATGGCGTTGCGGATTGTGATGTTGATGGTGATGGTGAGATTGATTATGATGGCGGTGGTGATGCTGGTGCCGATGACGATGGTGATGATGGTGATGACGATGATGATGATGATGATGATGATGATGATGATGATGATGATGATGATGATGATGATGATGATGATGATGGTGATGATGATGATGAGGGGGAGGAGAAGGAGGAGGAGGAAGAGAGGAGGAGGAAGAGGTGGTGGAAGAGGTGGAGGATCGGGAGGACATCAGCTGAAGGGAAGAGGAGGAGGAGGACGGGATGACGCTTGTGAAAACGAGGGTGTGTGTGTGCGTGTGAGAAAAAGGATGCTGAGGATGAGGACGAGGGTGAGGATGATGGCGGTGATGGTGATGATGGTGATGGTGATGGAGGGGCAGCAGCAGGAGGCAGGGGCGAGAGGGAGCAGGCCGCTGGCGTCGCCACGCAGCGCGGGCGGACGGGCGGTTGTCACCCGGCGCGCGGCTCGGCGTCCCAGGCGCTGGCGCCCGCGGAGCTTGCCCCGGAGGCTGCCGCGGAGCCTCCGGCGGCCGGCCGGGGGCGGCGGGTCGCCGTCGTCGGTGCCGACCATCGGTTCGGGTCGGGACGGTCGGGTCACAAAACCTCGAGGCTCGAAGCTTTCGATGCTTGTTCTTCCGTTTTGTTCGTCGGAGTTCTGCTGTTTTCCAGGTCTCGGGATGCTCTCCAGCAGCTGCGCTTCGTCAAGGATGAGAGGGAGGACCGAGTTTCGAGGTTCCAAGGTGCGAAGGTGCGAAGGTTCGAAGGTTCAAAGGTTCGAAGGTCGAGGTCTTCTGGCTTTTTCGGGGTTCTTGGCGGCTTTCCAGCCTCTGGGTGCCTTCCAGCAGCTGCGCCTCACCGAGAGCGTTCCACAGGTGCCTGGATCGTCCCAAATGGCCGCTGGGGTCCCGAGCTATAACCCACAAGCCAGACCCCCTCAGTGCCATAAACCCGAGGAGGCGCGAACGTGGAAGGGATTACCGCGCGTGGACTGATTAGCGACGATTTCCGTTCCCATACCAAGCCGACACGCTCCGCCGCCAAGTCAGGCGGCATCGGCGCCATGTTTCGAGGGAGGTACTCTCCCCGATCCACGGATCCGTAATCCATGTTAGCGTGAGCCCGCAAAGCGGCTCGGGATGGAAAGCCAGCCCCAGGGGAGGGGGTCCAGACTTCTGGAGGTCCACGCTGCGAGAAGATCACGACACCGCAGGCCTGGGTCGTCGCAGCTGGCCCTCGGCGGCTCTCGGAGGCCCCTCGCGAAAGCGACTGGCCGAGAGCCGGCGGGTCGTAGTCTTCGTCAGCCCGCGTCGTCATCGAGGGTTCGAGGATCGAGGGTCGAGGATCGATCTCGTCGACCCCCCCTCTGGGCCTCCCAGGGCGCTCTCGGCGCCTCGGGGCCGGAGGCGGTCAGCAATGGTTGCTCCGCGTGTCGTACTGCCGGTTCTGGCCCGCCGCGCTTCGGCGCGACGCGCTGGCCACGTCCCCGCTCCCAGGCGTCAAGTCAAACAGTGGCGAAGCGTCCTGGCTGGCCTACAGACCAGGCGAAAGGATGTTCTGAGAACTTTTTGCGGTTTTCACGAGACTGTCCTAGAGCATTTCTGGCTGAGACTGTCGTGTTTGGATGCATCGGCTGTCTGTTATAAGAACACTGCTTTCGCTGTCGAAGCATTTCTTGCACTCAAAGAAAATGGCGTGGTAGGCATGCAGGAATGCTGAGACGGTCGGCCCCTGCTCGATCAATGCCCCGAGCTTTGCCCAGCCCCCGCACTGCGCCGCGGAGCGACACGCTAGCCGCTCGCACGGCATGGCGAGCCGTCGGGGCCGCAGCCGCGACACGCCAGACTTATGATGTTCCAACCTACTTCAGCCTTGATCACCAGAAAGAACTTCGAGCACCAAGAAAGTGCCGAACACTGGAGGTCCTTCACGTGTCGGGCCCTGGGAGACGATACACTCTTCCGACCTTTCGACACCGCTTCGACACTTGTTTCGGGGCGCCCGAGATAATTTCTGGGATGTGGTCCTCAAGTACGGTGGGAACAGCATAACGCTAGACTGTCAGAGGCGACGATAGGGGCGAATAGCCCAGGGGAGAGCAATACATGTATCCAGGGGCGCCGATGATCTATGTCTTCGACAAGGCTCCTGGGCGAATATGTACGTGTAATGTCCGCCACTGGGCTATTCGCCCTTATCGTCGCCGCCGAGACTGAAGTTCCCGACCGTGGGCCCGGAAGCCACGGCAAGAGCGCACCCTGGGAACGTTCCGAGGAAGCGTCGTCGCCGCAGCCCCACCGGCGGCCTCCGGCGCCGCTCGCCGGCCCTTCACCGTTTCTCGCGGCTCGCCGTCGCCCCAGCTCGTCGTCGTGCTCCTTCTCCTGGCTCTTCCTGACTCCTCGTCGTCCTCCTCCCGTGCTCCTGACTCCTCGCGTTGTCGTCGTCCTCGTTCATGGCTCATGGCTCCTCTCGGCTCCGCTTCCTCCTGCGTCCTTCCAGCTCTTCCTCTGGCTTCGTCTCCTCCTCCTCCTCCTCCTCCTCCTCCTCCTCCTCCTCCTCCGCCCCCGCCTCCGCTTCCTCCTCCTCCTCCTCCTCCTCCTCCTCCTCCTCCTCCTCCTCCTCCTCCTCCTCCTCCTCCCCCTCCACGTCATCCTCTTCCGCCCTCCGCCCTCTTCTTCCGCCGACCACGGTGGAGGCGGCGATGACGACGACAACGACGATGACGACGACGACGACGACGACTACGCCCACGATGATGATGATGATGATGATGATGATGATGATGATGATGATGATGATGATGATGATGATGATGATGATGATGATGATGATGGTGATGGTGATGGTGATGGTGATGGTGATGATGATGATGGTGGTGGCGGTGGTGGAAGTGGTGGTGGTGGTGGTGGGGGTGGGGGTGGTGGTGATGATGATGATGATGCTGATGATGATGATGATGGTGGTGGTGGTGGTGGTGGAAGTGGTGGTGGTGGTGGTGGGGGTGGTGGTGGTGGTGGTGATGATGATGATGATGATGCTGATGATGATTATGATGATGATGATGGTTCTGGTGGTGGTGATGATGATGATGACGACGACGACGACGATGATGATGATGATGATGATGATGATGACGACGACGACGACGACGATGATGATGATGACGACGACGACGACGATGATTCGGCGATGATGATGATGATGGTGGTGGTGGTGGGGGGGGTGGTGATGGTAATGGTGGTGGTGATAATGATGATGATGATGCTGCTGATGATGATGGTTGTGGTGGTGGTGATGTTGATGATGATGACGACGACGACGATGATGATGATGACCACGACGACGACGACCACGACGATGATGATGATGACGACGACGATGATGATGATTATGATGAGGATGATGATGGTGGTGGTGGTGGGGGTGGTGGTGGTGATGATGATGATGCTGATGATGATGGTGATGGTTGTGGTGGTGGTGCTGATGATGATGACGACGACGATAATGATGATGATGTTGATGATGATGATGATGATGATGATGGTGATGGTGATGATGATGACGACGACGAGGATGATGATGATGATAATGATGATGATGACGTTGACGATGATGATGACAGTGGTGTTGGTGGTGGTGATGACGATGATTGTGATGCTGATGCTGAT